TATATATAGGAATAAAGGAGCTCACTTACGAAAATTTGATAATTGCTTATTGTACGTTTCGGCCGTGCCACGGCCGAAACGTAGAGTAAACAACAATTATCAAATTTTCTTAAGTGTGCTCCTTTATTCCTAATTATATTTGCACCAGACCCACAGAATTATTTTCTTGAATCATATATATATATATATATATGTGTGTGTGTGTGTGTGTGTGTGTGTGTGTGAGGCGTGCTTCGGCGTGCACAGCATTCAGGTTGTTTAAGCAATGATGTCAATAGAATAGCGGTGAAATAGAATACGTTCACTGCTTGTCAGGTCCTTTGCGCTTCTAGATGGCCCCACATGTCCTGCTTCTGGCGGTTGCGGTGCCGTAACCCAAAGCGCTTCTTACACGAACGCTAGGAAGTGTACGGACGAACTAAAATGCGTTGTCAACAATATCTGCGCGCTACTTGTTAGTATTACTTGTTACTTACTTGTTAGCATTACTTGTTACTTGTTAGCATACGCTACTCCACTTTGATAGTTTGTAGCGTTGGCGTGTAGCATACGTGTAATGAAAGGCACCCTCATAGAGCTTTTTCCACGCGTCAAACCAGACGACTGCGACCCAGAACAGTTCCCTGACATGTTGGATGACCAGCACACGTTGAACAACGCTCTTCTGCCGATATATTGTGGGTGGTTTACATCTTGTTAATTTCACAAAATCATTCAAATTGGTGCGACGAAGATCAGATGTGACAAGTGAGTGCGTTTTGAGGCTTCGGGTTCACTCGGCACAACGATAAGAACACTCGGATCGTTGACGTCATTGCTACTAGCACGTCGTCACTCATGATCATATGTGGAATTTATCACACCGAACACGCAGGTCTAGTGTCGATGCCGCAGGGGCACTCCACTTTCCGTTAAGCTCTCGTACGCTGTTTGCCGCCAAAATAAAATAAAGTTGTGAGTGACGCAATTCTAATTTGGCGAAAAGGTCTTACGCACGTCGAGCAACTGATTGAAGGGCACAAGTTGATTCTGGAATATGATGTCATTGCTTCTTCGAAATTTCTTGTGCTTCATACAAATGCACTCGTACAAGTACATATTGTACACAGCTTAATCACGCTCAATGCGTCAGGCACGAGTTTGTTTTTGCTAACACACAAAAGCTACGAGGTCTAGAAAGAAATCTGGCAGATGCCCTGCATTGTGGGAATTGTTGTAATGTGAATCAGGCAGTAAACAGTTGCATACATTACCTTGTTTGTTTTTGAACCAGTAAAGGAATTCATATCATGACATGTAAAACAACATATACACATGTTTGTCATACATGTATGCATGCATGTAGAATCAGCTAAATGTCAGGCTAATCGATTGCACGTACGTATATTCTAGTGTAGAAAGCGCATAGCCTGTCATTAATTTTTATGACACATCCGCGTCATACCACACCAGTTTTAGTATACATGAAGTGAACAAAATAGCAGGACAGGTACCTAGACAGTGTAATATAATTTGTGTGATACATGTTACGCATTTCATTATTTTCCGTGTTATAATCTGTCGTTCATTTTTGTTATATAGTAACGTCGCAGAATACTCTAATAAGTTAGCGAAAATGGCGCGAGCATGAGTTTGTCTTTTGAATCATGCCACACATGAAATTCACGTCAACATTTCCATGTGATCACCTGTCTTTCATGTTGGCCACCGAGCCCTACCTCCTCACCGCTATATCTGTTCGGTGTATACCAATTAGGTTAGCGCACAAGCCGCAAGCCCACATGAGCGTGGCTTGTAAATCATGCCGTAGATAGCATACACGTCATTTCTTTCATGTTACCACCGGCCGCATACACTTGTCATCTATTTAACGAAACAAAGAATAGATAGATAGATAGATAGATAGATAGATAGATAGATAGATAGATAGATAGATAGATCCAAGGGAAAAAAATTCGCCAGATATTGATTTGCTTTCAATAATTCACAAAAGGCGAGCGCTTAAATGCCGTGCTGTTCTCAATTTTTTTATCGTGCTAGTACGCGTTCGCGCCAATGCAATAAAGCGAAAACTGCCACTGCTTATTCCTAGTCAGTTTAAAAAATATGGAACCCTAAAGCTTTACTTTCAGGAGTTGATCGTGATAGCGACACGCCGTTCCTAGTGCATATTTCTAATAGTTATTGCATTGAACATTTTCGAATTTTCGTTGCACCCACTAAACGTAGCCATAAGAAAATAGGCACAGCATCGTGTATGCATTTTGTAGTGGAACACCAGTTGTCGACCGTGGAGCCATTATGGTAATCACATAATCTGACGCCCACTAGCAATGGATGCTTGTACTACGCATTATTGCTGCAACATTTCGTGTTGCATCGTGCAGCATGTATACAGGGCGCATGTGTTTGTGAAGCATGAAAGCTACTTTCACTGCATTATCAAGCGGAGGAAGATCTTTTCACTGTTTGCACGAGCAGAGGCGTGGCCGTGCGGTAGAACAGCCGTTGCCACGCAAACGACGCGGTTGTAATCCCCACTCGGACACTAACAAGCCTGGTTCAGTTCGCAGTATGCTCCAGGGATTTTATTTAACAAAATAATTATTTTATTTGCATCGTTCTCAAATTTTCAGTCGCGCAAACAATGCTGATTCGTCGCTCACAACCAACGTCGCTGACGCCGACATTAACGCCGACACATAATTTCTGCGAAACGAGCTTTATAATGCTATGGCTTTAAAATCACAGCATATTCACGGAGTAAATGACGATGAGGGCGGCGAGGCGTCAATCACTTCGTCCGCGCTTCCGTCCGTTCGTCAATTCGTTCTTGCTTCCGTCTGTCTTCACGTTCGGGCGTCCGTCCGTCCGTGCGTCAAACAGACAGACAGACGGACGCGGCCAGCGGATGATTTGTGGTTTGCCGATAAAACCCTCCGAAGCTTCGCCCCACGGATTATCATTCACTCCGTTGATATACTTTGAGAAGGTTACTACATACATTTATGCATACAGACAGGTGATGATCTACCCACGCGTTAAGGTGCTTCGCCCCTAAAACAATGACATGCTTCATTTCAGGCTGCAAAAGTACACGCAATGCGTTAACATGCGTTACTCCGCCTAAAATCACTTGCGCGCCATGGTAGCCTCAGCCTTGCTGGACCATGTATGGCAGCTGACTGGATAGTCGCGGTACTGTCCCCGTTTCAGGGAGGAGGAGGAATAAGTTTTATTATGCGGAAATTGAAGTGAAAATGGAGGACATTGAGACTTGTAGAAGGGCTGCGCCCTCTACCAGAGCAGTGAGGAGTCTCCTGCAGCGAAGGATGAGGTGTTCTTGCGTCTTGGTCTTCATACCACAGATTCTTCAAAGGCTGCTCACGACAGCATCATCGAACCTTCTGCGGTACTTAAGAGTGTGAAGAGCCCTAGCTCTCGCCTTCGAGCAAGAGGCTACGGCCACAACTATTGTCGTAGAAGGGAAACCCACTTATGTTCTTCTCATAATTGTTTGCACTCGAGGTTCGACTAAGCATCTTTTCCACCGGTTTGGGACCTATATGTATCAATGGATGAAGCTGCCGATGGTGATGTATGGCTTGTGGGTGACGTTGAGCCCTGCATTTTTCAGTATACGTGCTATTGCTTCGCTGCGACCACCGACCTCTGGGATTTTACGGCGTCATTGTGGCAACGCCGGTGTCACGCTTCTTCTGTTTTTACTCTGAGGAAAGGCTCCTTGAACAATTTTCTTTGTAGACTCTGGCGCCCAGGTCGCGTATAAATTTCTGCCATTTCGTCTCCTGCCGCTGTGGTAAGGAGCAAATTCTTTGGGCCCTCCTAACAAGGCACCCCAGTAAGCTTGTAGCAGGTGGGATTCTTTGAGCTGAAGTATAAATAGCGTTTTGTGAGGATAGGTTTCCTGAAAAACCAGAAAGAAAGACTATGTACTTACCTTCTTACGGTACTCGTGGACAACTCTCTATGGCATCGAAGGGAAAGCTACGCAGTGGAGCTACTTCTCCTGTAGTCCTCCGCGAAGTTGTCCCGTTCAGCTCGCGTTTGGAATGACGGCCGTATTCAAATAATTCTAGTGCACACAATTTGATAGGGCTGCTTACACAGCAATTTGTGTGTCAAATTAGACACAAGCACATCCTACATGCTGTTGGAATAGCTGGAGTGTGACGCGCTGTCAACTAGAGACAAAGACGTCATTTCGACTGTAAGGTGGACGTAAAAAGTGCGATGTTTTCAGATTCAGATGAGCAAACACGCAAAATAAATAAGTGAATGAATAAAGGAATAAATAAATAAATAAATAAATAAATAAATAAATAAATAAATATGAATCTCACCTCGGTGCACGCAGCGTCTTTTTATAAACAACAAACAGTAAAACGTAATGTCGCTCTTTTTATTTTTTTTCTCACGAAACATGGACGCATTTCTGGCACAATTTCCTACAGCGTTGGTACACGCCCACTTTGGATCAGTAGCGATCCCTTCATTGCCACAGAAAGTTGTCCTCGAGTACAATACAACCACAAAAAGGAAGGTCTATTGGTTCTCCCGTCACATCGTGAACTGCATGCCAGGCTCAACAGTAGGTGAGCAGGCTGTCAAGCTCTCTAGATTTCATCACATAAAAGCAATCGCTCGCATAGTGAACAAACAACTTGTTTTTGCGGTCGAACAGAGCAAGCACGCGCTTTTCAATGTCATCCATCATGAGGACTAGCACGACAGCTAGCATCCGTATATCAAGCGCATTACATCTCATGCCTTCTAACCTCCGAGCAAGAAGCCAGAACACCTTGGAAACGTTGGGAGGCTTTCTTCGTAAAATACATTTTGGTAGAAGCTTTCCAATTTCTTCGAAAACATTCGCGCTTTTTAAGAGGTAATCTACGTTGTGATAAGAATTGTCTATCAGCTTTTTAATTGATGACATTTTTTTATTGAAAGAGTGACAAAAACGCATTTTCTTCCAGAACCAGCTAACATAACAGAAAGAGGGGACACTACTCGGGCCTATGTGGGTAAGTCGTCATTTCACATCGTCTTCATTTCCGTATTACTACGTAAAACGTGAAACCAGAGATAAAAAATCATGGACCATGACCGAAGAGGAGTATCCATAGAATGAACCATGGTGCCAAAACTACCGTCGGTCATAGCTGCATGAGTGAGCTCTACAGATGACAATCTCGCCAGAGAACGCCTCGGTTTTGCTAAGAAGGCATTTAGAGAATAATGAAAATAAACATATTATTGCAGCGTGTGACTTTACGTTAAATAGTTAATAATCTTTGCATTCTAACTCCTTACCAAGATTCTTTACAAAACGATAGTAGATGGGATAAACCGGTGAGACTTAAGTGATTACTTTAAACGGACCTCACCAGGACCCATTATAATACGTTGAGACGATGAAAAACACCTCTGAATATTAGACTCTGACGAATGTCATGAACACAAATTGAAGTAGGTAGAAAAAAAAACTCATTAAAAACCTTGTTTCCGAATCACTGTATAGCGTTCATTTCGTATTGCGACAGAAATTACATTGACACTCTCGGCTGATGATTACCGTTTCAATCTTCATCATATGTCCGATAAGCTACATCATTATCGCCATCATCCTGACTACACCCACTACAGGACAAAGACCTGTCCCGTGTTCCACCAGTCAACTTGTGCTGTGCTGTATACTTCGATGTTATACTTGCAAACTTCTTACTCTCATCTGCCCGCCTAACTTTCTGTCTCCCTCTCACGCGTTTGCCTTATCTTGGAATCCAGTCAGTTATCCTAATGACCAGTGGTTATCCTGCATACGCACTACGTGCTCGACCCACGTCCACTTCTTGATTTCAACTATGATATATTTAACCTCGGTTTAATCCCACTCTGCCTTCTTACGGTTTCTTAAGGTTACTGCTATCATTTTCCTGTCCCATCCTCTGTTTAAGGTGAGCCATCTTTGTAAGACTATAGCTTTCTCGTTCGTGGGTAAGTACCGATAAGATGCAGCTATTACACTCTTCTTCTTGGGGGATAGTGACGGACTATTATTCATAATTCGAATTGGCAGGTCGAAGGTATTGCACCCAATCTTTATTTTTCTAATTATTTTACTATCAAGGCTTGGCTACATGATCACTACCTCTCATGAGTAGGCATAATCTTTTACATTATCTAGAGTCTCGTCACTTATGACAAAGCATCGTTCTCTACCGAGACTCTTGCACAATACTTTAGTTTTATGCATATTGTTTTCAGACCTACCTTTTTGCCTTCCTTGTGCAGTTCAGTAATCATGACCTGTAATTCGTCTTCTGAATTATTTATCGACGCAGTGTCATCAACGAGTTGCACACTACAAAGATAGCCTCCAATAACTCCTATGAATATTGCTTCGAAATCGAGGGCACTGATAGTCTGCTGTAAAAATGCGGTGAATAGTATTGGAGAGATCGTGTCTTGCTGCTTTACAGCCTTTTTTATTGGGATTCTGTCGCTTTTTTTATGCAGGACTATGGTGGTTGTGTATATGCTGTAGCTTTATTCCAGTATGTTTACGTAGATAGCTCACCTTTGCATGTCACATTTGAGAATTTTATAGTAATAACGAGTTTTTTCCCCGAAATAGCATGTTAGTGTCCTTTTTATTGATCGTACTCCCGACGTCCATTGCACAATTCTTAACGGTACTAGTCAGTAGATTGTTTATTACGCCAATGCTAACAATGTCCTTGGTTAAAGTTGCAAATCTATTTTGAAGTGAAACTCTGAATTCTGGTACTTTCTTTCTCAGCACTGGCTCATTAGTTGGCCTCTTGCGTATTAGTTTGTGGCGCTTCTCGGTAAAACTTAAACGAACTTGAGAACTCACCAGTCGATGTCACTTCTGCAGGCCTTGTCAACTACTTCCTAATTCGTTACAGTGCCTGGTGGGCACACAGAATAAGGTCTATTTCATTCTCACCTGAAGCATTAAGACTCTTCCACGTCCAGTTATGATTAGCCCGTCTTCTCTCGAAGGTATTCAAGATCCGAAAGCTATTACGTTCTGTGAAGTCCACAAATAACTACCCTCTGGCGTTTTTGGAGGCGGTGCCATACTCCCACACTGCACAGTTTTCAGGCTGCTTCAAGCCTACCTTGCCCATCACTAGAGTATGGTCTGTATTTACTTACTCATTGTTAATCGCACATCTTCTTAAAGTGTTGAAACACTCTACCATCGAAACTAGATGAAGGCACGTAGGTTGTACCATCTTTCACTTTTATTTCAAAGTTTGCTTAAATACAATACTTTTCACTCTCATGCACCTGCTATAGTAGTAGTATTCGTTTATGCTGCTAGGTACATTTTTATATAGAAAGAACCCCACTTCTAGTGCCCTTCTGTCAATCAAGTAACGATAGCTAAAGATGTGTCCGTCCTTTAGAAAAGATAAAGCCTCATGTGCCCCTGTAACTTTGCCGAGCTTTATTACATCCCACTAAACACGCTGTTTTCTTCGCATAGCACAGCTAGATTTGTCTCACCAGATAGCGTTTTATCGTTATGTGACGCCGAACATAGATTTGAATGGTGGCCTGTCCGGACCAACAGATTCTCCAGCACCCTTCTCTGCGTCGCAAGTCCGACCACTGCCTTGGTAACTTGATTCGCAGCGCCTGTCACCTGAGAATATTGGGTAAATTGGTGTATTCTTGTAGTACGTCGAGGCCAAGTGTTGCACAAGGGTGGCGAGCCCTGCTCGAATACATTACCGGCTGTGGTCACCAGTGTGGCCACACCCAAATCAGAATCAGAATCAGAATCAGAATCAGAATCAGAATCAGAATCAGAAATTTATTAATAAAATTCGGTACAAGTGACAGGAATTTAGTATACAGAAGGAGGTCCCATAGTCAAGTGACTGTATCGGGACCTCCTGTACAAATGCAATGAGTTATTAAACACATTAAAGCAACAGGAGCGTAAGTATAAATCAAAGCGTACAACTGAGCGCATAAAAAATAGAGAAAACAAAATAAAGGTGTGAAGTACAAAAAAAAAAAAAAAAGCGATAGAACAGTTTAACAATCAATATACAAAACTAAATAATAAAAGGAAATAAAAAAAAAACAAATAAAAAGAAATACAAAAAACAGACCAAACAAAAGCATACGTCAAATAAAACAAGCAGTAAGTCTTATGGTTAGTCCGCATGAAGCAAATACAATTTATACTGTTTCTTAATTGATGAAATGAACTGATAGATTTTATGTTAAGTGGAAGAGTATTCCACAATGAGATAGAAGTGAATTTAACAGTTTGTTTGCCATAATTAGTACGTATACTGGGTAGAAGGAAGTTATTGTTTAGTGCAAATCGGGTATTACTATAAATAACAAGATCAGAAGACGGGAAAATGGTAGGGGGAAGTTGATTATTAAGAAGTCTGTAGAAAAAAATGCCAAGGTTGAACTTAGTAAGTTCAGTGAGAGTAAGGATGTTATTTTCATGTAGTAAAAATTTAGCATTAGAAAAACGTGGGCTGGATGTAATTAGTCGAATAGCATGATTTTGGACGATTTGAAGAGACGAAATGTGAGTATTGTAAGTATTGCCCCAACATGTTATACCGTAGGTAAAATGAGAATGTACGAAAGAGTGATAGAGGGATAGTAATGTGCTGCGTGAGAAGTACGGGCGCGTTTTTACCAAGACTCTTATACCATATGCTAATTTTTTTTTTATGTGAGCAATATGTCTCTGATATTTTAAATTGCAATCTAGAAGGATGCCAAGGAAGGAAGAAAATGAGCAAGGAGAGATAGAGTGGGGGCCAAAAGTAATATTAGGTGCTGATGTTACATTCCGCTGGTGTGAGGTGAAAACAACAAACTTGGTTTTAGAAGCATTAATAGACAACATATTAGTATTACACCATTTGAAAATACTTTCTAAGTCAGTATTCAAAATGGTTACAAGAGATGAGATGTCTTTATGAGAGGTGAATATGGTGGTATCGTCGGCGTACAAAATGCATTGTGATGAAGACAGACACTTGGGCAAATCATTAATATAAATCAAAAACAGAAGTGGCCCCAAAATGGAGCCTTGGGGCACACCAATGTTAGTGGTTCGCTGTCGGGAATAGACGTTGGAAATATGAAGATGAAGGCCCAAGGGCACACTTTGTGTAATTCGATTATAATGTGGATTTTTTTTTCAATTCGGTTAGAAAAACTTATCTTGCACCGTAATTAGAAACACGCAGAACTTGTATGCGTGACTCATGCCTTACCTCTAGGTAGTTGCTGCGCCGGTATTTCTTAGCACTCCTATATTCTACATTGCCTGCGGACCACATCTAAACTTGACATTCCTCGTAACTTGCGTCGACTTTCTGTAACATTATGGAACTCACTACTTCTCTTTGGAAGAAAGAATTTACGTCACTGCAGTGCTTGGAGCGCGTAGACGTCACTTAGATTGCGGGTTGAAGGTCTGTTTCGAGGTTGACTCTACCCTCTTTCGATTATTATCCTGCTTTTGAATTCATGTAAAGAGAAAACCTTTCGCAAATAACAGGGGTTGTTAAATGCAAAGCTTGGACTAATACTGTGTTATTTCGATGACGTTTATGTACTATTGTGCCAAGTTCTGTCTACTTTCTGGGCATTGGCACGTTCAAGATAGTTGTTTCCAGAGACATTTTGCGGTTGAGCTACGCTTCAGTGAAATGAAAGCTTATGTATTATAAACACTCAAATATGCCCAACCAGTTGTTTTTTATGTCTCACGATCTCTACACTGAAGTTTAGAACTATATTTCACTTTGATATAGGCGAATGTTCCGCAGATGAAGGCCGAATAGAATAATATGTGCAGTTTTCTCCAGATGGCTATTCCTTCTTCTTTTTTGCATGAGATACGCCCGTCTTGAATGAAAAGATAATAGTTTGAACTTAAAACAGCAGAAAATATTCGACACGCAAAGGTGAGAAATAAGAAACACTAAAATAATCAATCAATCCT